ACACATTATATACAAAAGGTAAATTAGTAAAGTTAATGATATAAAATGGTGAAATTCCTTCACTAACTAAATTTTAAAGATACATTAACCCACTAACCATTGGATGAATGTCATGATTCTTCAGAGTCTGTCTATATTTCTGAGATGAAGTATTATGCACATTATTTACATTATTCGGACTATTGTCCTCATCTTTGTCGCCATATTTATCACAACGTTTCGGACGTTGTACGCTCATCAAAAACTTGTCAGTCGAATTGGAACTAGAACAGTCTACCCCGGTGAGCGAAATAAAGGGTTCAGTTCGACATTCCAACCATCTGAAGAAGGCCGAAGCGGACAACGGCCGAAACGTTGTGATAAATATGACAATAAAGATGAGGACAATAGTCCGAAGAATGTAAATAATGTCATGATTCTTGCATTATATTTTTTCGTGTCGGATGCTACCTGAATTTTACCAAAAAGAAAATAGTTTCCATTCATGATGATGACCGGAGAACCTGTCGAACGTACTTGCATATTTAAGGAAGACCTTAGACAGTTTTTTTTTTTAATTATAAACTGTCTAAGGTCTTTCTTAAATATGCAAGTACTTTCGACAGGTTTTCCGGTCATCATCACGAATGGAAACTATTTTCTTTTTGGTAAAATTCAGGTAGCATCCGACACGAAAAAATATATAGTAAAGATTATAACATTCATCCAGTGGCCAATATATTAATGCATTTTTAAAATTTAGTTCACGAAATGAAATTGCCATTTTGTATCATTAACTTTACTAATTTACTTTTTTGTATAAATTATTCATTGTAATATATATATATATATATATATATATATATATATATATATATATATATATATATATATATATATATGTATGTATGTTTATATATATGTATGTATTTATATATATGTATATATATAGATATATATATATAAATGTATGTATGTATATATATATATATATACACACATACACAGACACACACACATATACGCACATATATGTGTGTGTGTGTGTGTGTGTGTACGTATGTATATAGATTAATAGATATATGTGTACATATGTGGATATTAAAAAAGGGAGATAATTCGAACTGGTTCAAAATTTAAATGTTACGTTTTTAACGAAACTTTAACGTGGTCAAAAGTTAAAATATGAAAGTTATGAGGAATATAAATACAAGTTCTGATAATTTCAATAGACTTATCAAATAGCTGGTCCATTTGACGCCAGGATTTCGGTCAGTCAGATATGTCCACCTAACTTTTATCTTTTATTGAATACATATAGCATATTGGGGCAGCATATCATTATTTAAACATATATTATTAAATATAACAGACAATGAATATCTATTATGTTTGATCACGAGCCGTTCTAAATTCCGTATATTTGCTTTAATTTCTGGTGAAAATAAAAATAAAAATTGTCGAACATTTGGATATTTTTTATTAAGCTGTTCCTTGATTTAAGCTTTCGACTCATATGCACCATCTTCAGAGTGGTTATGCGGACATTTAAACAAAGATATTCACCATCAAATATTCTGGTTTTTTTTAACATAGAAGATTGCGATGCGACGATATCGGTCGCTGAATAGCGGACACATGTCGTAAATTCAAGATGCGGTTCTATGACGTCGTGCCACGTGAGAGACCAAAATATTAACCACAGAACGATCTGTCTAGAAGCAATTTAATGTATTGTGACTTGTTTGAAATGTAATTAGGCGTTCGTCACTAGTGACATTTAACTTGAGTGGTTATCTTTTAATCAGTTCTCTCCAAACGGCAAAATGCCATTAAGGCGTAGGGCTTTACAGACAGTGAAAGGCGATGAAACCTCTTTAGTGAGAAGATTTAGAGGAAGACATGCTCATTGTAAATCAGTTTTTTTAGCACCTGACTTCGATCTTCACTAGTCACAGCTAATTTGAGTGGATATTTAAAGGAAGACACGCGTATACCCAAGTTTATATATAGTCATTATCAAACAGGCTTGGCTCATAAAAGTAAGCGTTTTCATTCTTGAGGCCAATGTTTACATCATCAACTCTGTATAAATCTACATTTACGACATGGCTTCCTATACAAACATACTTGGACATGTTTGTGCGTCTTCTAGTCAAATATTCAGTTATTCTGGTGGGAGAGGGTCAGTTTCAGATGCTAGGTTCTCTACCATTCTTAGGCCAAATAACTTTCCTGATGCATGCATGTGTATAAATATACCCATTTCTATTTGGTTTTACTTATCAATATAGCCAAGATCTATGATTTGTCACACTCAGTTCGTATCTATAATCTAGCCTATTATTCTCTTATATAAATCATTTTCATTCTCTTCAATTGCTTACAAAATGTAACGTTTTTTGTAGACTAAGATTTTGCAGATGTCGCTATATAGAAATATATGAACAGAGATAGATAGATGTGAACAGAAAGAGATATCTTCTTTTGTGCGCTGTGTCCCTTCAGGACGTAGGCGATTATGGACCTCCACATCTTCCTGTCCTTTTTAGCAATTAATAAGTTTTGTTTCTGTTCTATATCTCTGAAACCCTCCTCATCAAGTATATTACACACTGCTTTCCCTCTTTCTCTTAATCTGGACTGTGAGTATCAGCTTTTCCAAGTCCACGTTCCTCATTAAGTGCCCCAGAAATTTCAACTGCCTCTTCCTGATGTTAAGTCTCCATCTTGTTTCCTTTTTCTCCAAAACCTCGTCGTTGTTCACATATCCAGTCCATGATATTCTCAGCATCTTTTTGTAGAACCACATTTCTGTTGCTTCAAGTCTCTTCTACATCTTGAGGACATTTTCCAGCATTCGCTGCCATACAGGAAGACAGATGTCACGCAACAGTTCAGGACTCTTTTCTTTATTTCTAAAAATTTTTTTCTATTTCTTAATACTCTGCTTAGCTTTTCGAATGCACCTTTGCCCATCCCAATACGTCTCCGGATCTCAGTGGACAGAGACAAATAGATAGGTACAGGTATAGAGATAGGCAGATACTGACATATGTACATAAAATATATATCGATAGATATCAATAGTCTGAGATAGATTAGACCAGGTTATGATAAATATAGATATAAGAAGATTAGCTGTTTCGAAATGAGAGAGAAATAATAGGAGTTGACAATGTTTGCATTGTCGTGCTATTTAAATGGTCAAAAATAGTTTTGAGTATTGATTTTTCTAGATAATTTTTAGAACTCTATTCTTTTGAGTGTAGAGTGAAATTACTATTTAGTAAGGCAAAAATAATACCAAATAGTTTTTGTATTTTTGCGAAGCAATGAAGTAAATATAAGCAAAGGCACACGCACACATTATATATATATATATATATATATATGGTGATTGGAAAGTAACTACTTATTTTATGTATGATGAACTCTCCCGTCTTGTAAAAAGTGTAGTTAGACGGGAAAGTCCATCATACATAAAATAGGGAGTTACTTTTCAATCTCTCTCTCTCTCATATATATATATATATATATATATATATATATATATATATATATATATATATGTGTATAAAAAGCTCAAGAACTAATATTCCATGGTTATAATTTCTTACATTAGAATCGAAATCACGATCCAATTCATCAAACCTACAAATTCAAAAAGAAATCGGAAAATATACCTCCGGGTATAAAAAGCAAAATTTTAGTGAGAGTGTATGTGTGGAAGTGGGAAACAAGTGTGAGAGGGGAATGTATGAAAGCTCTAGAGAGAGGGTGTAACAGAAGAAGAACAGGAAGGCCTAAAGGGGAAGGTGGGGATTAAAATTTAACAGAGAGAAGTATTAAACAGAGGAGTTAAATAACGGTTTAAAAGAGTGAGATACAGATAAAAATAAATTATTTTTCGATACATAATTCGCTACCGATTCGCTGACCTAAAATTAAAATTTTCGATGCATAATTCGATATATATATATATATATATATATATATATATATATATATATATATATATTGACCATTAATATTATCTATCTATCTATCTATATATATATATATATATATATATATAATATAAATAAAAACACTGAACAAAACTTATTACGGGTATCGTAGCAATGTTTTAAAATGCATTTGAGTTAACATTTACATTTGGCAATTTACCATCTCTGATTATCCCCCTTGCATTGGGAACGCTTGTTTATAAAATATTGTTAATTTTAGAATAATTATAGTACAGCTCGTTCGCGCGTGTGTGCAAAAATCACCATGACAACGATTATAGTTACATTAAGTTTGTCTTCACAATTCACCTCTGATGATGATCTCGAAGCAGATCGAAAGTACTTGGGTTAACAAAAAATACTTCACCTTCCTTTATCAATTTCAATTTTAACATCAAGAAGATAATTAGAGAACTGGAAAAGATTATTATGAAAATAAATAGACATAATATGTCGATACTATTTAATGAAGCATGCTTGTATGAAGATATGCTGCCTATATATATATATATATATATATATATATATATATATATATATATATATATATATATATATATAAAACCCTGATACAGTCATGAAGGGCTCTGACATGCTGTAGTTAGGATTTTGTTTAATAGGGTATCGATTGATGAATCTTCCTTAAACGATATAGGAGTATAGTATAAAATCGTGTATAAGTGCTCGCTTTGAAGATCGAACCTGCTACAAAAAGAGCACTTGGAGTTGTCATGTAAGCAATGACTCGTAACAAACAATCAACACGTTGTTGGCAATTCTCCGGAGACATGTTGTGTAGGCCTCATTTCCCAACCACTTCTCTTTCCAGTCCTTGTCATTTTGTGTGGTACAGTACAAGAAATTGTGGAGAGCCATGATTTCCAACATCCTGAAGGCACACCGTCCATAGAATAAAATGTTATTTACATTTTCGCTCCAATATTTTCTATCTTTATATATTTGTTAAATGTTAATAGATGTTCTACACACAATGAACACACTGTGATGAGGATGCACTCTCCTGCGCAAGCGCCATTATATTTTACTTACACTGAAACGAAAACGAGGCTGCGGGCCTGCGTTAATGATAACATACAAAGTATTTTCTTTTATCTGATGTTCTTTCCTTTTCATCTGTTTTCTTTCATTCGCTGTATGCATTTCTCGATACAAAGTTCCGAAATAAATTTGTTTATAGAGTTGCCAAATGCGATAATAATATGTTGCCCCTAAAAGCCTATCCGCGTATGTAGCGAGTAGGAACGGCTGAAGCAAGAGGTCGTTGTGAAAAGGTGTGGATTTTTGGAACCTTCCTTCACCCCGAGGCTAGCAGACACTATTCAAGGGGTTGGAATCTATTAAGATAAGATTGGCCAATGTTATCCCAACTCTCCAAAGAGTATTCTTCTTTGTTTCTGTCTTTATATTGTTGTGCGATAGAAGATAATGCGTTGAGTTTCACGTCATTGTTTCATTCTTTTCCGCTTCACGTTTTTTCTTTCTCTCTTTCTTTCTTTCTTGGTGGTGTTGTATTTTGTTTTACTTTTCTTTTTCTCTTTCTTTTTTGTTTTATTTCCGTTTGCTTTTATTTATTATTTTCTTACTTTTCCTTTTCTGTTTTCTGGCTTTATTTTTTTTTATTTTTCTTTCTTTTTGTTTTCTTCTTATTTTTTTCTTCTTTCTTTTTCATTATTTTTCTTCCCTCAGTTTTTCTTTCTTTTTCTTTGTCTTTCTTTTTTACTGTTTTCTTCCTTTTTTTCGATTGCTATTTTGCTTTTTTCTTTATTTCTTTTTCATTTTTCTTTTATTGCTTTTTTCTTCTCCCGTCTTGCTTTTTCTTACTTTTGTTTCCTTAATTTTTCTTTTCTTTCCTTTTCTTTCTCTGTTTGCTTTCCATTTTATTATCCTTTATTTATTTCCTTATATTTCTTGTTTACTTTATTTGTTTTCATTTCTTGCTTTTTTCTTTCTGGATTTTTTCCTTTTTTTCTTTTCCCTTTTCTTTCTTTTCTATTTTTTCTGTTTTTCTTTTCTTTTTCTTTCTTTCTCCTTTTGCCGCCATTACTTCTAATTTATTTCTTCTTTATTTTCCTCTATTTCTTCTTCTTCTTCTTCTTCTTTCTTGGTTTTCTTTCTTTCTGTTTGATTCTCAAAGAACAGGGGACTCGTAAATGTCCTACTTGTGCCGGATCGATCATTCTCAATTGAACTCCGAACGATTTCTGAGAAAATCTTTGAGTAACCATCAGGTTCGGATTATGATAAGATCTTTATATTTTGTGGACACTGCTTATTTCTTCTGTTTTTTCTTTTGCTCTTCTTCCTAAGCAGATCTGATTTGCTCAGCAATTTCTTTCTTCAACAAAACGATGTTCTCTTGAAGCAACAAGCTGCTCTGTATAGAAAGCATCGAAATTAGAAGTGTATGTGGAAAGCGGAGACAACAACTGTTCTAGTTGACATTGGACCGTTGGGTATTGTCAAGATTGTACAACGACCATCTTGGATAGATCCCCAGGTGTGAGGAAACGGCAAAAGATCGCACTCCCATCTCGGAGAAATTTGTTCGTCAAATCGTGACGTCCAAATCTCTGAAGATTTAGTTTGGTTTGGTTTATTTTGTCTTACGGTATATCAACCTCAATGGGTTATTTAATGCAGACATCATTTTTTATTGCTGGTAATATTTTGTTTTGTCAAAAATCTGTTTCTGGTAATATTTTCCTTCAAAATTGTATTGCTGGTAATAATTTTTTTCAAAAAGTATTGCTGGTAATAGTTAACTATTTGCCCATAGCTGGGACCCTAACAGGTGCTACCACCCTAGGTCAGGGTGGACCTTGGAACACCAGCAATTAATAGGTAGTTCCACGCTCCTCAAAACCTCCTGTTCAGAGGCATTGCTGATGGATGTAGTTTATCGTCTTACCCATGACGACTGAAGATTTAGCTACTTTCTAAAATTCGACATAAAGCCTGTGAAATAGCAGAATAATCATAAATCCTATTTTATTTTGCGATTTAATCAAGAAATGATGTTGGAACACAGGGATCACAAACTCCTTACAAAAAAGTGGATCATTTAGAGATCCATGGAAGTATCCAACAAGTACAACAAGATCCATTGCTTGATTGGAAAAGGTTCCGATAGACTCATTGGAGGGATATCTGGTAGTCCATGCCTTAAAATAAAATAAAACACAGCTTACACATTACGGAGAGCTTTATCTATGTAAAATGTGTGTGATCTTAGTTTTTATTTATTTATTTTTAGAAAAGAATGATCAGTGGAAAATATCATGAAGCCATTTTTGATTTTAGGTTTTTCGTTGGGACCCGGAAGGAAATGATTATACAACAGAAATCAAAGGAAATAATAATAATAATAATAATAATAATAATAATAATAATTATTATTATAATAACAATAATAATAATAATAATAATGATAAGAAGAAGAAGAAGAAGAACTGTAAATATAAGGACTTCAAGACAGAAATCACTAGAAATGGTATTTCAAGATAACAGCATTGACTGTTGTTTGGTTGGGTTGTTGTTTCTTAGGGAATGATATCAAAATAATTCAACAAATATGTGGGGCAAATTACCAGTATCCATAAAATACATTAATTGCAAAAAAAATTCTAACTAATGGGTACTTCTCACATGTTGCATAGATTTCTCTCTATGCTGTGACCACAATTACATTTTTCTCGCTGATTGCATTCCACCCCATCCGTCTGCATCTTCAGATAAAAAACAACAACAAAAAAACAAAAAAACTTGTTTCCTGAAGTTTATGGTTGGGACTGGGACTGCAGGGTGACTTGTACGACACAAAACAAAGACGAAACACAACATCACCAACAACAACAACAACAACAATAATAATAATAATAATAATAATAATAATAATAAAACTAAGCAAATTCAAGAAACTCGACATAGAAATCAGTAGGATTTACCATCTCAAGACAAAATTACTTGTTGTTATTGGGCCTTTGGGAACGTTATCAAAAAGACCAAATAAATGTAGCTAGATCAAATTCCTTGTCCTAAAATGTATGGATTGAAAAAATACTCATAGGTACTTCCTACATTTCACGTAGATTTCTTTCCATAAAATGACCGCAGTTATGTATTTTATTCTCGTTGATTACGGGGTGCCTCATCTGTCTGGGTCTTCTGATGTAAAAGAAAAAATACTTCTTGTCACTTGAAGTCTCTGGTTTAGATTTCAGGGCAACTCGTACTGCACAAAGCGAAGACAAGACACAACTCCTACAACAATAATAATAAAAATAATTACGAGAAACTCATTAAATACAAGAATCACAAGACAGAAAACAGTAGCATGTAGCTTCTCAAGACAACAATATTCTTCTTTTAATGTGCTGTGTCCCTTCCGGAAGTAGGCGACCATAGCCCTCCACATTTTCCTGTCTCTTGTAGCTTTTAATAAGTTTTATCTTTTTGTTATTCCTCCTAAACCCTGTTCTATCATTTGCTCAAGTTCGCACGGTTTTCCTTTTTCCCACAATCTGCCCTGTGAATATCAGGTTTGCCAAGCCCTCTTTCTTCATTACGTGCCCGAGAATCCTCAACTGCCTCTTCCTAATCTCAAGTATAAGTTTCCTTTTCATTTTCATTTTCTCCCAAGCCTCGTTGTTGCTTACATATTCCAGCTATAGTATCCTCAGCATCTTTCTGTAGAACCTTATTTCTGTTGCTTCAAGTCTTTTCTACATCTTTGAGGGGATTGTCCAGCATACAGGAGAACATATATCCTATAACAGTTCAGTAGTCTTTTTTTTTGTTGCTAATGTAGTTTTTTCTGTCTCTTAATACACTGCTTAACATTTGGAAGGCATCTTTGGCCATTCCAATAAGTCTTCAAATATCTGTTGTCATCGGAGCCTTGGGAATGTTATCAAAAAGAGTCAACGAATATGTAGAACACATTCGTACTAGCGCTGAAATAAACGAATAACAAATATCATACTCATGGATACTTCTTATATCTGACTTGATTTCTTTCCACGCAATGACCACAATTACATATTTGGTTCTATTTATTTTATTCCATTTGAGAGTTCAGATCAACTAGTACTACATGATTCGAAGACCACAACAAACACAATAATAATAATAATCATAACAAAACTAATGATAATAATGAAACTATCCCCTGGGACATGCCAATTCAAACTGACAGGGAAATAAAAGCCAAAAGATATTATCATAAATGACAAGAAAATCAGGAATCGTAAACTTATTAACATGGCAGTACCATCCAAGAGAAACATTTCCATAAAAATTATCGAGAATTGTCCAAATACACGGAACTGGAGATCGAGATTAACAGAATGTGGGGAATGAAGACTGAGACTGTACCAACAGTAATCGAAGCTCTGAGCCTCGTGAGAAAAGGAATGGATAATTTTACTAACAGTGTCGCAGGTAACATCAACATACAATTTGCACAGAAGATCACCCTACTAGGAACATCCTATATACTAAGAAAAGTGCTATCAATTAAATGACAATTCACTTATAGTGTCTAAGGACCATAGTTTAGACCCAGCTCTACAGGATACAAATCAAGAAAAATAACATACACAAATAATAATAATAATAATAATAATAATAATAAAGAATGTATTGGATAGAAAGCCAGACATTATGGTGGTAGACTAAGGAGAAAGTATAAGTCAAGATTCTACTGTTATCTTCCTCACATATTCTCAAACTGTGCTTCTTACTCTGTAACTAACTCGAGTGGCTCTTAGCATACCCCACATAAAATTGAGTAGCTACCACAGAAGTGATACAGAAAAATTATCAGAATTGAAAATGGAAAATGTTCGAATTTTGGTCAATAAAGTGTTTGGAAAAGACTAGGGTCAATGTAAAAACTGGACATTTACAGAAGACTGTCCTCCTTGGGATTGTTCATATACTCTGAAGATTTCTCGAAACTATCAGTCTGCTGGTTGTGGACAGCTTCTACTTTATTTCCATCTCCTGCAAAATTTCTGTGTTTGCAGATCACGCAACAACGATTACAATGAGAAAGGAACTTATAAAAATCAATATATAATTTGAGAAATATATTCATTGGATGATATGTCAATATTACAGTGTGCCATATGCTGAAAAATGGTATTATCATGACCCCGAATCAGTCATAGAATGTTCTGAAGTTATTATTTTTTCGGACTTTACCATTCAAACTAATATGTCAGATAAACAAGAGATATAGTGAGATAGACCAGACATAGTGAGTACAAAGTGAGAACAAAAATATTTCTAAAAATATGAGAGTGTCATCAAAAAAGAATATATTTGTTCAGGAATATGAAAAAAAAAGTAAAAATTATAATTACTATCTGTAGCGATAAGAATTGAATTTCTGGTTACAATCAAGAAATGTGCATACTAGTACATTAACAAGCTTCCTGATATCCCGTGTTATATCACGCGTCCTGCATTTCATTAAGGGCGTAGAATGCACAACACGGACCGGAACCCTCTTTAGGTTTGTTTTTGGTTTCAAAGAGCCCAACCTCTGCTGCTATTTACACCACGCGTCCTGTATTTCATTAAGGCCGTAGATGGCACAACACGGACCGGAACCCTCTTTAGGTTTATTTTTGATTTCAAAGAGCCCAGCCTCCGCTGCTATTTACACCACGCGTCCTGTATTTCATTAAGGCCGTAGATGGCACAACACGGACCGGAACCCTCTTTAGGTTTGCTTTTGATTTCAAAGAGCCCAGCCTCCGCTGCTATTTACACCACGCGTCCTGTATTTCATTAAGGCCGTAGATGGCACAACACGGACCGGAACCCTCTTTAGGTTTCTTTTGATTTAGAGACAGCCCAGCCTCCGCTGCTATTTACACCACGCGTCCTGTATTTCATTAAGGCCGTAGATGGCACAACACGGAACGGAACCCTCTTTAGGTTTGTTTTTGATTTCAAAGAGCCCAGCCTCCGCTGCTATTTACACCACGCGTCCTGTATTTCATTAAGGCCGTAGATGGCAAAACACGGACCGGAACACTCTTAAGGTTTCTTTTGATTGAGAAAGAGCCCAGCCTCCGCTGCTAGTTACACCACGCGTCCTGTATTTCATTAAGGCCATAGATGGCACAACACGGACCGGAACCCACTTTCGGTTTGTTTTTGATTTCAAAGAGCCCAGC